TTTCAAATAATGTATAATGTGTAATAGAGCCTTTCAATATTGAGGTGTTGAATCAATGTTTCATTGAGTGAGTAGTAAGACAGTGTGAGTGATATCAGAATGTGTTTTAACTGTGAGATATTGCAAGTAACTCACATTATGTTAATATCACTGAATTGTGAAATCAGTCTCTTTCTCAGATATAGAAGAATCATCAATACAGAATTTATTCTTCATTGATATTCTGATAACAGCTGTATTATCAAGATAGAAGTCTTCAACAAGATATTTAATATATTAATAATATATCAAATCAATTTTCTTATCTGAACAATTGATCTTCATACTCAAATACTTGATTGACTGATGTAAATTCTTGACTTTCAATTTCTTACTGAGTATACTCACTAGTCAATCAGCATTCTCAGAAGCTTTGAATATGATGTTGAGATCATCAACATAGATTGTTATATAGAGGTGATATCTGAATGTATGATATCAGAGTGCTGAATCATGAGCACTAACTGTAAATTCAAGATCACTCAACAGAGCTGTTAAGTAATTATATCAGATCTTCACTGCAGGGTTCAGGCTGTATAGACTACTCTCAACTGTGCAGACAAGTGTTTTCAGTGAATCTGTCTTAAATTCAGTGAGTTATCTCATATAGACCTTCTTAGTGAGATGCTTATGAAGATATATCATCACTATATTCACTTGACAGAGTGTTCAATCACATAGTGCTGCTATTGTAAAAAGAATATGATTAATAGTATCAGTGATAACAGAAGTGTAGATCTCTTCTCTAGAATTCTTCTTAAATCAGTTATCATAAATCACTCAACACAATTTTCTAAGAATATCATCAGAATTAGCATTCAGGTTCACAGGCCTATCTTTCTCAAGAAACACTCAATGACCTGAAGCAATCAGTTCATCTCTCAGAACATCAGATCTAGGGATCAAACTTCATGTATTGTGTCTCTTCAGGTCAGTAATCTTGTGTTGTATGAACTTCTTTTAATAATCTTCTATCTCTTCTGACTGAGATGTGGCATTCTTGTAGAACTTTGAGAGGTTACCTGTAATAAGACTCAGAGTATATGTAGCCAGCGATTTCACGAGCTGCAATCATGTGAAATTCAGATCATCAATATTGAGAGCATCTTTATCATCAATCAGATGAATATCAGGTTTCAGTTCACTGACATTATTAATGAGTATCACAGATGTGATAACTAATTCAACAACATGATTAATGAGTTCCACAGATGTAATGATCAGTTTTTTAGTGATCAGAAATCTCACATCACTACTGATAATAATCTTGTCAGATTCAGAATGCCATAGGTGATATATTGATGTGTCACTGAATTCAATGATATGATAGGAATCAGCATGTGAAGAAAGCTTATCCGCAGGCCACTGAGATTCATGCAAGTGAACAAAAATCTCTGTACTTAATCAGTGAAAATGCCTCACATTCAGCGGGGTATTTGTAAGTGCACATTAAGAAATCTTATGTGAACTTGGAATCACAGGAATCTCTGCAGTAGAGGGCCAAAATTTCAAGTTATAAAGAACTGTAGATATGAAAGTATTATTGATTATTACAATCACTGTCTCTAGAACATCTGCTCAGAACTTCTTAGAGAGATTACTCTTTAAAAGAGCAGCTCTAACCTGTTTCATGATAGTGCAGATCTCACATTCAGAAACACCATTCTGATGTGATGAATGTAATGCTGTTGATTCTCATTTAATATCATATGAATTCATAATTGTGTGTATACATGTGAATTGAAAAACATCATCAATATCAGTTCATAGAAAAGCAGAAACTGTATATCTGAGATTATCTATGAATCTGAGTCACAACTCAAAGTATTGAACAGCCTCATTCTTGAACTTTAAAAAATACACTCAATGATAGTGAGTTGCATTGCAGGTGATAAGCATTCAGTATTTGATTCTCTGATGAGACTTTAAGAAGTGATCAGAGAGATCTTTCAATGTACATTCACTATCTGCAAGATCAATATGAATCTTCTCAATAAGTCAGATAGATCTAGACATCAGTGTTTTTGAATAATCTCATATTATACCTGCCTTGACACATTTCTTGCAAAAGAACTTAGTCTTAGAATCTTTAATTGTGACTTCAGTATGGAAATTCTTGATCATAGCAATTATAGCATCAGTGTGAATGTGACTGAGGTTATAATATCAATTCAAAAGAGTCTTTGATATCCTTGTATTCTGTGTTTTCATGTCTGCAGAATTGATGTTATTAACAGTAGTGACAGCAGTCACAGAAAGATCAACTTTTCAGTCAAAATTGTACTTGTATAGCATTGCAATATACTTGACTGTCTTATTCAGATGATTGAGATTCTCATTGAACTCCTGTTTATTGATCTTATATATGTTGTTCTGAGCAGTTCAAACTGTATGAAAAATAACATTATTCAGAGCTCTGCAAATGAAAAATGAGAGAATGATGAAAGACAATGTAAATTGAAATCTCTGATCTTCAAGCTTCACAAATAAGAGCAGATTGACTGTAATATTAGAAATATAGTAAACATTCTGCAAGTTAACATCATCACTCTTAATCTTCAAGATGATAGTCTCAATCTTCTTGACAAACTCAGTTCTCTCAGTTGCAGAATTGACAGAGATGTTATCATTAAAAGATTTGATATTTGAGAAAGAATGAAGCTCACTCATCATATTCAGGCTTACACATGTGTTCAAATATCAAGATCTAGAGAATGATTTTTCAGTGACAGTGAAAGAGAAATAGAACTCAATCTTTATAATTGCTGCATTTGCTGCTGATTAAGAACTTATCAAGTTATTCTTCTTCTCTTTCTTCTTATCATTCTTCTTTTTCTTTTTATCAGAGTGTAAGATGAAATATCTATTAACAGTATATTCATGTCTTCTGCAGTGAGTGCACTTTCATACAGATGTGCTTTTCTTCTCATTCTTATTCTTATTCTTATTCTTATTCTTTTTCACAGTCACAGAATCAGTCTGAGACTGCTTTTTCCACTTAATGATGATCTTCTTAAATGTATGATTAATCAGTTGCTTTATCAAATTATCAATATTAATATTGACAATGAGTTTCTGATCAGTGGAGAAAAACTTATTCAAATGTATCTTAACAAATGATCTTTGATAATCTTGTAGATTGTTGAGAAAAAGATTATAATATACATTCTCAGTACTCTGACAGAGCTCTTTGTAATAAGTAATAAGATAGTGAAAATGTCTCTGAAAAGTAAGATAATCATTCTTCTTAACTTGTAATTTTATCAATTTCTTGAAGATATTAACTCATTCTTCTGTCAGTGATATTATATATTTCATATTAATCTTATCTCACAGAGTCACAGTATTATCAGCTTTCAAGGTTTTAATAGTGATTCAAATGTTTTCAATAAGACTCAATAGTATACATCTATATAGAGACTTAAAACAGATTCTTCACTTCTCAGAGTCAATATAATATGTAAAAGAGAATTCTCATTAAGTTCTCAATAGAATATTAATTTCATCAATAATCTCTGCATCAGTCAACATATCAACATATCAGGCTTTATAATTAGAGTTATCAAATGTGATCACTGATTTAATATCTAGTGTATATTTAACTTTCTTCTGATATTTCTATAACTTATTTCTTATAATGTCTCTTTATACAGATATAGTGAGATGTTGAGTGATTTCAGCTGCAGCTATCTGATTCTATAGCATCATCTGTATAAGATTTATAAGATTGCCTGCAGTGTAATAAATAGATTGATTCAGATTATCATTAAAAGTTGATATTTCAGAGATAAGAAATAGTGAAGAATTTGAAGAGTTGAAATAAACAGATTCTATAGATAAATGTTAACTCTGTTTTTCTTTATTCTGAAGTTTCTCTGTTATCTTATCATTATCAAATTTCATACTCTGATGAAAACTGACCTCAGTTTTATCTTATAAGTCAGAAGCTTTCTCATAATAAGTAATTATTTTATTAATAAGTTATCTAGTGAAGTGTGTGATTCTGAGTCTTGAGCTGAACTCTGAAGTAACAGATGTATCACTTATATTAAGATAGCTCTGCTTCTTCTAGATATATAAAAAAAAAATAAAAAAGTGATATTCTTCATAATGAAGAATATGCTTTCTCAAAAATATAAAGTATATAAATCTGCTAATTAGCAGATTCAGAGAAAATGAAATATCTCTAATAAAGAGTGAGAGTCTTTTCAAAAAAGATAAACTATCTGTGTTAAAAATGTTGATACAATGTTCTAAAAAGAAAAACATGTCATTCAGGCTATAACCTGTAGAATAGTTGAAGGTTGTATTGATAGATCTATCTACAGGAACATAATATAGTGGTGGGTCACGTGATCTAGTGGGATCGCTAACCGCAACGGCCGTAAGGGCCAACAATTATGTTATCCACGAGGTCTGCTTACATAACGAGGTCGAGTGGCGCTTTTAACGAGGTTGACTTTTTCTGTACGCCTTAGAGCGCCTGCTGTATTCCCTTGAGGAGATTATTCCTGCATTTTTATTTATTTCCACTGCTATGTATCCTTGTGATTGTACTCTTTTAGATACCTTGCACACTGCTGCACAAAAGATAAAATCTGGCTGGGTAGTTTTTCCAATCTTCGTGGCTTGCACATTGTCATCCTTCAATCAATCCATGAAATTCTTTGATGTCTGGTCCCAATAACCTCTTAGTTATTTAATATATTAATCTGCCTTTCAGGCTGAAAACTCAATTAAGAGAAGTTTCAATTCTATGTAGAAATTGATTGCGGAGGTCCGTAGAGTTAGAGTAAATAAATTACATAAAATACACTAAAACATCATATTACTCCTGATCTCTCATATTAATCAATCATATGAAAGTACTGCGTAATTAATATACTAACAGACACACTAAAAAAAAAAGAACACGCTAATCGTGCCCCGCCTCATGACTTTCTTTTTCTTTTTCTTTTCTTTTTCTTTTTCCTCATTTTTGCTAGGGCCAGGGTCAAGTGTCTTACGCTGCGTACGACTCTTGCCCCAGCCTCCGCCCCGCGCCAGAGCCAATAGTGGGCATGATAGCCAAAGGCCAAGCACTCGCCAATCGCGCCACGCCGGACAGAGGTTTGCTTTTTGTTGTTGATGTTTGAAAGGCTATTTTGAGCCGTTCAACGGTGAGGATCCAACGGAGCGTCGGAATCCGTACAGAGTTCTGCGAGGTAGTAGTAGCAACATGGAAGAAGAAGATATCTCGGGGACGGGCAGGATATATTGGTTACGATCGGGAACCCAAACGTCTGCGAACCTTAAGAAGCCCACTTCTTGATCCGTTTCCATGTTACCGATGAACTTAATCTATGTGTTTTATGCGTATACAGACTAGTAGGTGTGGCGGGAACCCACCTGCGATGAACAAGAAGGAAAAAAAAAAAGAAAAAAAAATGGGTCTTGGGATGTCTCAACTCCCGAGTCGTCGAGTCCAAGTTGACAGTCAATTGGCAGTCTTGTCGGAGGGGTGGACCAGTGAAGCAGGGGTGGTTGTTTCGTTGGCATGACTGTTGTCTGTCTGTCTGATCAGCCGTGGAGAAGAATGAATGTTTGCAGGGATGAAAGCCGGTTGGCTGCTGGTAGTTGCATGGCTGGTTCAACTTGATTGTGATATTTGTGATATTAGTATGGAGAAGAAAGGACGGAGGAGGTTGGAGGAGGAGCAGTACTAAATAATACCGCTGCGTAGTGAGGCTGAGAGGACAGAAGACCTGGAGCCACTGACTGTTATGAGATTATTATGCTTGACCCAGGCCCGAGCGCAGCAGGACGCACAGCAACGGCAGATGTTGTCAGGGAAAGAGAGGGCGGCGGGTCTTTACCGTCGTCGCCCGTCGTCACTGGCTGCAGCTCTCCTTCTCTGTTAGCTCCCCCGCCGCTGCTGTTTTTATATATTATATCTAGCTCCTGTCCCCTCTTTCTCCTCCTCCCTCCCTCCTCTCCATCTCCATCTCATCCACTTACCATTGTTTCTTGTTTATGCTTCAATCTAACATCTGATACACCCCCCTTTTCATACACACTACGTCGTCCATCCTCGTACCAGCTGCTGTGCTAAGGTGGGCTGTTGCTGTTTCTCCCACCAGCTACAGACTGTACCGCTTCTCAACATGAAGCTCTCCTCGGGCTCAGTGGCCGCTCTGGCCATGTCCCTGTTCTCAGGTTCCAGCTTGGTGGCGGCCCAGACTTGGACTGCCTGTAATCCCATGCAAAAGAGTAAATTCTTAAACACCAGGCCCCCTAATTCTGAACCTGTTTTTTTGTTTGATAGATTGAATTAATTCGTTACTTACCTATTTTGTATCTACAGCTTGCCCTCCAAATCCTGCTCTCGGGGGAACTGCAGACTTCGAGTTTCACACCGCCTCTGCGCGATTCGACATCCTCGGGGGATCCCCATCGTATGGCGCAGACGGGGCTTCTTTGGCCGTAGCCAAGCAGGGCGACTCGCCCACCCTCATCTCGAAATTCTACATCATGTTTGGCCATGTTGAGTTCGTCATCAAAGCCGCTTCGGGCAGAGGCATTGTCAGCAGTGCTGTCTTGCAATCCGACACCCTGGACGAAGTTGACTGGGAATGGCTTGGTGTGGACAACGGCAGGGTGCAGACCAACTACTTCGGAAAGAACCAACAAGGCACCTTTGACCGTGGCCAATTCCACAGTAATCCAGGCAACCAGAATGGCTATCATACTTACTCGATCGACTGGGACAGCCAGCGGATTCTCTGGCAGATTGATGGTAGCACTGTCCGCACCCTTACCGCTGCAGAGGCTGGCGCTTCGTACCCGCAGACCCCTATGCAAGTTAAGGCTGGTGTGTGGGCTGGTGGTGACCCTACCAACCCCCCTGGAACTATCGGTATGTAATCCCCCCACACAATATCATATATGTGCTAAAGTACATTACTAACATGAACTGATTCTTTTTTCTGCCCTTTCAGAATGGGCTGGTGGTCCAACTGATTACAGCGCTGGTCCTTATGTCATGGGACTCAAGTCCATTGCCGTGACTGACTATTCTACCGGGACTGAATACCGGTACACTGACACAAGTGGCAATTGGGGCTCTATTGAAGCCGTTGGTGGTAAAGTTAATGGCCGTGGAACCCCTGGATCAGGCCAACAGGTAGAGTCTTCAATCCCCCCTGCTGAAGCCACCCGGCCCCCTCCTACCAAAGGTATAATACATCCAAGCGGGTATCCTTGGGTCCCATCTACCACGCACAAACCTAAAAGTACACCCTCAATAACCTCGTATCCAGGGCTCCCCAGTGACTGGATAGTCACCGACTCTGGGAGAGCCTCAACGCCGTCCACGGCTTCTGTGAGTGAGCATTCCCCTTTGCCTTTCGTTATATACGTATACATATACATGTATAACAGTCTCTGTTGTGAGTTCGCATTTTCTAATGTGGCCCGTCTTCATCTTCCTCCTTCTCAGAGAACATCCCAGCCTACTTCGCAGTCGTCGCCTTCATCTTCGGCCTCTTCTTCCGCTCGTGGCCCTGAATCGTCCCCTTCTATCACAGCAACTGGCTTTGTCACCTCACCCACTGTCACCCCTTCACCCAGTGCCACGGATTCAGCCGGCGCCACCGTTGCTCCTGGAACGGGTGCAGCCAATGGCAATTTCCATATGTCATATGGGGTCGCTGCCATGTGTGCCTTGATTGGCGCAGTGGTCGCCTTCTAATAGCGAAGGACATTCCCATTGAACAGTGTCAGCCCCTTCAGAATGAAGTTGAGTGACAGATGACTTGGACCATTTCAGCGGAAACGAAGAGATGATTATATTTATCAATATATTTCAAGACACGACGATCACGACTAAGCTTGGGGATGTTAATAGGCGCCTGGTATGGCGAAGCGGCTTTGTTAAGGAACATAATTTCTTTGGACAACCTAACCTTTTCTTTTGCATGTGGTTTTTCTTCTCAACACAGAATTAATAGCTTAAAGCTTTGGTTTCTATGTTTTGTTTGGGTTTTGTATGGTTTTTTTGTTTGGGTGGTTTGTTGGGTTCGGTTCTGGGCTGGCTTTTGATGATGTTCATTCTTTCATTTGTATTAGATGGGGCCAGGATGCACATAACAACTAACCCCTTTTGCACTCTACACGTATACATAGACGGTGCTCGATATAGATAAGACAGATTTCATTAATGATGAGAAGAACGTTCCTTCATAACTTTCTGCTGCATTGCTTGGACTGGGGTGGGGGTACGAGTGGTGAGTAACCTTAACTTGCTTAATAGGATATGTATGGATAGCATAGCTCATCCCAGGGATGATATCGCGGGTCATCCAAAAAAGTGGACATCGGAAGGTGATGAGAGAGGGACATTCGTTTTCAGCATTTAATTAATAAAGAGCTAGGACAATATAAAATAGTGAATGTAGCCTGTAGTACAAATAAATAAATAAAAATAAGAGAGAGAGAGAGAGAGAGAGAGAAGAAAGTTGAGCAGATAATACGGAAAAGAGCCACATTCCACCTTCATCACGAGTCGATCCTAACCACCCCCTTTCCCCTTTTTTTTTCTTTCCCCTTCAAACTTAAACAACAACAACTACTACTACCACCTACCCCTCTAACAATGCGACCAACACCTTCTCATAATCCCCACTCGTCTCCTTCTCCACAACATCCACAAGACTCTTATCAAACCGCCGCCTATACGCCGCCTTCACCTCCCCAACCCGTCCCCGCTGCCAATGCAACTTCACCACCCGCGCAATCAGCAGCGAATCCCTCGTCCCCATCCCCTTCATGCACTTGTACAGCAACCACGCATCCAGCGCTGCCGCATCCAGCGCCCCGCGCACAATATGCAGCGCACTATACCGCAATCCCTTCCTGTCCGCCCGCGCCCAGATGGCTTTCACCTTCTTTTCGAAGGTGAGGGTTCCGTCCCGGAAGGCCGGGCGGGTGGCGAGGGCCGCCGCGACGGCGCGGAGGTGGTTATCGCTGCGGGTTACGAGGAGCTGGATGAGATCGTTCTCGTGGGAGCCTGGGTCGATGTTTTTGGGGGCTGAGTCGAGCTTGGCCGCGTCGGCTTCGATTAGGGCGTGGTCGAGCGGTTGGGATTCCTCCATGCGCTCGGCTTTGAGGGTCTGGGTGAATAAGGAGAGGTGGGGCCCGCGGAGGTCCGGGCAGTTGCTTAGCCGGGTGCTAAGGTTGGTTTTGTAAGTGTCATGGAAGGCGGTTTTAAGGGCTGTTATGTCTGCATTTGTGCGGCGGAGGAGGACATCATTGAGGAGGATTGAGGGGGAGGTTGAGCTGGAGGCTGCGCCGCTGGATATGCCGGTGGCCTGCAGGGCGTTGTGGAGGTATACTATGTCATTTTTCAGTGGCCCGCGGACAAGGGTGAGGAGGGTGTCACCAAAGTCACGTTTTACTTTGTCCGCGATGATATCTTCAAGGTTCTTGCCAATGTTGTGCCGGTAGGTTTTGCACAGGAGTGTCATCTGGGCAGCATCAGGTTTGGAGAGGACTTGGATTAGTTTGGCTTCATCAGTGTTGAAGCTGCTCAATGCCTTTTTGAGCCCGCGCGCTTCTTCGCTCATGTCACCTGTGGCAATGTGGGATGCATCATAGCCCAGGGAGGGGAGGGCTTTGGTTGGAGCTCCGGCTGGTGCGCTGTATCCAGGTTGCAGTGGGTAGCCCCCTAGGTATCCCGCTGCGGGCGGATACTGACCAGCAGCCGGCTGAGGAGGGTACTGTCCTGGCGGATGAGCACCGTATGGCTGTTGCTGGAGAGGGGCATATGGCTGTGGTTGTCCTCCGGGAGGCAGTGCTTGGCCCGGTGCCACCTGGCCGGGTGCACCAGGGGGATACTGTCCCAGCGGTGGGTAGTAGCCCGCCTGAGGAGGATATTGGGCTTGCGGTAGATAATATCCCTGCGGAGGATATTGCCCCTGGGGAGGATACTGTCCCTGAGTACCATGAAGAGGGGCTTGACTGTAAGGTGGATAGCCATAGCCAGGCTGCTGCTGAGGGGCGGCTAAGTGGTTTATGATAGAATAAACGTAAGCGCGTGTTTCTTATGCGGTTACAAAAGTATTGCTTTTATCATTTGGGTATATATTTGCTTCCAAGGCTAATTTTTTCATCCTCATCCATTCTGCTTGGATATGAGGAGCCTTGGGCTGGTGGATTGCTTAAAGAAAGAACAGGAATAAAAGTAACTACACACGTGCGGGCGGGTTCTGCTGCTGCTGCTGCTGCGATGGATCCATCTTAATCTTCTCTTCTCACAACAAATAACTAGAAGAGGAGTGATGTTGTTGCAGCAGATGGGTAAAGGGGGACGGACGGGTATATCAAGTCTTCGCTATCGGAAATGGCAACAGATGAGTGCGAATAGAATCAGAGGTTAAAGAACTGCGCTGCGAAAACAAAATTTGCTCGGGAAAGGGAATTATGGTTTTATAAAACAAAAATGAGAAGAAATAATGGGCATCCAGGAGCGAGGGTACGAAGGAGCTGAAATAGCTTCCCCCCCCCCCCCCCCCTTGGGCGCAGATATATAAAACGAGAACTATCTTTGTTCTCCCACCCCTGCAAAATGCGCCCGGTCCATTCCCATCCTCTATTTTCCAAAATGCCTACCCTTCGCTCGTCAGGAGCAACCTAACCTGAACCTCTTAGGGAGTGACAAACCCCTCTTTCTCGCATTCTCAGTCCGCACAGCCCCTGGCCAATGATTGGAGGTGAGGGGAGGGAACTTGGAGGGGTAAGAGTTCAGCCACTGCTCGCATAAAACAAGCCAACTGGGCCCTTTCAGCCACATAACCGGGCTAGGCTCAACAGTCTGGAGGGCGGAATTTTGAGTTCTACGCTTGTGAAGGTGGGACAAGGCTGGGTTTTTACTTTTTCAGCTTGATCTTGCCAACGCGGACAATACAAGGAGAAACTATGTAGTTACAGCAGCAGTCTATACGGAGTAGTGACAAATGAGTCGAATGGGCAGATCCGAGCTCGTTGGCAAAAGAATGTTCCCCCTGACTGAGTGCGACCCAGTGTAACTGTAATATCACTATTATCTCCTCTCTCTATTTAAAATGTTTTTGTAGCACACAAGCCTTGATGTGTTAATTATTATAGAGCTAGTCCACATTAAGAAACTGCAATTCTACAGGTGAACTGCAATATAGTAGAATTGAATATTTTCATCATTATTATCATTCTTCTCTGTAAATCATCAATTTAATTACTCTGTAATAATTAATTTTTTTTTTTAAAAAAAAACATAATATCTACACAGTCTTTAAGCTATCTAATTATCTTTGATAAATTCAACAGTTATTTCTAAGAGATATTAAACATGGTTTAATTTTCTCTGAAAAGAGATGTTTTTTCAGTACAGATATTCAATCTCAACTTCTTTAATATTGAGTAGACTGGCCGTCAGAACTATGAATTTCATGATTAGTCTTATTTAATCTGGTCTCATACATTTCTTGATGTGAATTCTGCTGAGACTGACTATTAAAAAAACATATAAAGTGACTATATATCAGATCTTAAAATGAAATCATAACTTGAAAAAAATAAGAAAGTGATCTCATTTAGTCTTATTTAGTCTCATTCTTAGTATAAAGTTACTGTTTTTAGACATTTTAAGGTTTTTTTTAGACTATTTTTAATTTTTTAAAAAGTAACACTTTTTGATAACACTTAAATGAGATTTAAAGTTATTTAAAGTAATAAAAATAATTTAAATTAAGAAGTGAAAATCATAATCTTATTTAGAAAATATAATAAGAGTAAATAGTAAGTCTTACTAAGACAGTATAAGACTACTATCTAATGTTAAAACTATGTAATAAGATTAGTTGAATTGATAATAAGACTATTAAAAAATCTAATTCTGGTCTCAGACATAGTCATACAGTCAGTTTAATATTAAGTAACTTAATACTATTATCTCTGATCTAATATTTGATGAGATGAGCTGAGACTGTAACAGCAGTAGTAGATTGTTTATAAGAAGAGAGATTCTGCTTAATAACTGTAGTAGGCTTTTTTTTCTTCTTCTTCTTTTATTTTTTATTTATCTCTGTCTTCTTCTTTATCTTCTGCTTCATCTCTGTCTTTTTCTTCTTCTTCTTCTCTTTCTTCTTCTTCTTGAAGTTGATAGTTTGATGCTTAATTATATATTAGTTTATATAAGAGGTCTACACTAAATAGATTGATATGATATATATAGATCTTATAATACAAAAGTGAAAAATGTTAAAGAAGGAAAAAAGAGAAAGTGCAGAAATCAGTGATTAGAGTAGATATTTATACATATACGCAGTGAAGCTTCATATGTGATGAAGCTTCAGAGTGAAAGAATAGAGATTCTATAAGTTTTTCAGCTAAAAATTAGTGACTGAAAATCGGAGCTTTTAACAGAAATCTATGAAGTATAATGAAATAGTCTATATAATATAATTGATTAAATGCAGCCTGTCACAGTTTATTACTAATTTGCACTTGAATTCATAATATAGACTAGAGTCACTAGACTGATCACTGAAACTATGAATTTCACATTTAATCTTATTTAATCTGATCTTATACATTTCTTGATATGAATCTCACTGAGACTAATTATTAAAAAAATATATAAAGTGACTACTTATCAGATCTCAAAATGAAATCATGACTTAGAAAAAATAAGAAAGTGATTTCATTTAATCTCATTTAATCTCATTCTTAGTATAAAGTTACTATTTTTAGATATTTTAAGGTTTTTTTTAGACTATATTTAATTTTTCAAAAAGTAATACTTTTTAATAATACTTAAATAAGATTTAAAGTCATTTAAAGTAATAAAAAGAATTTAAATTGAGAAGTGAAAATTATAATTTTATTTGAAAAATATAATAAGAGTAAACAGTAAGTCTCACTGAGACAGTATAAGACTACTATCTAATCTTAAAATTATGTAATAAGATTAATTAAATTGATAATGAGATTATCAAATATTCTGATTCTGGTTTCAGACACAGTCACACGGTCAGTCTACTTACACGCCTTGATTTCTCATATCAAGATGCTATCAGATGACCGCATTAATCATTCAGTCACTGAGACACTTTAAATGCAGTGATTGCAAGATTTTTTTACAGTTATTCTCTGTAAATATAATTCGGAAAAACATGTAGCTGAATAATAACACAGCTGCTTCTGAATACACTTCTAAATATAAGAGACTCTAGTAGTCTTACTAATTATTTATCTTATATATAAGAAGCTGATAGATATTTATAATTCTATATTAACTCAAGTAATCTTTGAATCACATCTGATAGCATGTTTAAAAACTAGTGAGAAGTATAAGCTTCTCAGAGACATAATAATTCTGTTTACAAAGTAATTTATAATTATTATATTAGAGTGATTTTAAACATTTTAAAATAGAAGTATATAAAAGAGTAATAAATAAAAAATTATTTAATTAATACTACTTTACTTATTGAGAGAAAACTTCATACTCTGATAAATATTATATATATGAATATAATAAGATAAAAAAAGAGAAAAAAGATAATAAATACTGATTTAAAAAAGTTTACTCTCTACTCAGAAGAATAAAAAAAAGATTATTATTATTAAAAATATATAAAAATAATATAAATTATATAATTAAAAACAGTATATAATGAAAAAAAAATCTTTTAAAATGAATATTTTTTTTATTTAATATAAATAACACTTTTCTCTGTTATTTAAATTAAAGAGTATATAAAATCTCTCAGAAGATTTATTTAAAATAGTAAAAAAAGTTAATTAAAACTACAGAATCAGAAATAAAACTTTATATATATATAAGAATTTTAAATGAAATTGTAATGAGTCAACGCTGAAAAGACCGGCATTAGATATAGAACTTATGTAACAAAAATACAAAACATTAGAGAAGAAAAAGAGAGAAGATATAAGAGTATAATCAGAGTGAATATTTATACATGTATAAGATAAAGCTCTGAGATGAGAAAATAGAAGCTCTGTAAGTTTTCAGCTGAGAATCAGTGACTGAGAATCAGAGCTTTCAGTAGAAATCTATGAAGTGTAATAAAATAATCTATTAATTAAGTGTAGTTTACTACATTAGTCTCTCTCTTTCTGAAAGTGAGCTTTAAGTAATAGAGTTATGAGTAGACTGACTGTGTGACCGTGTCTGAGATCAGAACTAGATTTTTTGATAGTCTTATTATTAATTCAACTAATCTCATTACATGATTTTAATATTAAATAGTAGTTTCATACTGTCTCAGTGAGACTTACTGTCTACTCTTATTACATTTTTCAAATAAGATCATGATTTTCACTTCTCAATTTAAATTATTTTTATTACTTTAAATAACTTTAAATCTCATTTAAGTGTTATCAAAAAGTGTTACTTTTTAAAAAATTAAAAATAGTCTAAAAAAAACCTTAAAATGTCTAAAAATAGTAACTTTATATTAAGAATGAGACTAAATGAGATTAAATAAAATTACTTTCTTATTTTTTTAAAGTCATGATTTCATTTTAAGATCTGATATATAGTCACTTTGCATGTTTTTTTAATAACTAGTCTCAGCAGAATTCATGCTAAGAAATGTATGAGATCAGATCAAATGAAATGTGAAATTCATGATTCTAGCGGCCAGTCTAGCTGTGAGTATATAGTTATTATTAGACTGACCGTGTGACCGTGTCTGAGATCAGAATCAGATTTTTTGATAGTCTTATTATCAATTCAACTGATTTCATTACATGGTTTTAACATTAGATAGTAGTCTTACACTGTCTCAGTGAAACTTACTATCTACTCTTATCACATTTTTCAAATGAGATCATGATTTTCACTTCTCAATTTAAATTATTTTTATTGCTTTAAATGACTTTAAATCTTATTTAAGTGTTATCAAAAAGTGTTACTTTTTAAAAAATTAAAAATAGTCTAAAAAAAACCTTAAAATGTCTAAAAATAGTAACTTTATGCCAAGAATGAGACTAAATAAAATCAAATGAGATCACTTTCTCATTTTTTTCAAGTCATGATTTCATTTTAAGATCTGATATATAGTCACTTTACATGTTTTTTTAATAGTCAGTCTCAGTGAGATTTATATCAAGATGTGGTTCGGAAGAACGTACGACTGTTGAATAATACCGCGGCCGCTTCCGAACTACTAGCGTACGCGTACAAGTGTAAAGGGGCCATAGCGGCTGCTAATTAAATTAGTGTACAATATTA